TACCATAGAATTAAAAGTAAAGGCTCATATTGTAAATGCACTGTCATTAGGGAGACATGTTCACTTCATGTACGTTCCCTGAAAACAAGTGGAGTGTGTTAGCATGCTAACAAATTACAATAAGGTGGTAAACATTTTGTTCTAGCATGCAGACATTATGGCATTTAATTCAGATAGGTAAAACCATGACTAGAGAAGAGATTTTAACACAGACGGGCTTTATTGTGACCTTTTTGCCAGCAGACTAAAGTTTTCCATAACAATATCACAGAGGAAACTAAAGACAGCAGCCCTCCTGGGGTGGCACTATAATTTGTGACCATTTAATAAAACACCCACAATTGTCACCCAAGAAGCAGCCCACTGGAGATAAGTGCATGTTCTCTCTGGACTGCTCTGGAAGATGTAATTATTAGCGAAAGTGCTATACAAACCGACTAAAATGGAGCAGTTGGTCCCAAGGTATTTCCACAGTGTTATTAATGTGCTGCAGTGACAGAATGGGAATATAATAAATAGCATCAGGTTGAATATGCAGTAGATACACAGAAATTTTGGCTCCAGCTAAACCCCACCACATTCATATTTTGGGATTCTGCAAATATGAGCTCTACACACCATCCATATCTTCAGCACCACACTAATTTTGTTCAAGTCAAACATACAATCGAAGAAGCCTGAAAAACCTCTTGTTTTTTTCACCGTCAAGTTCTCTGCTGCAGCTGAAATGTTGGAAATGGCATGTTATGAGTATGGTCAGCCTCATTACTGTGGTAAATGCAGACGCGAAGGCTTTATCATTACAACCTGTAATTTCCTAAAAAGATTGCACATTCAGCTGTGGACTCGAGTTGACTGCATGGCTGAAAACCCATTTCGCGCTCTGTCTCAACCAATTCATGGTGCCAGATCCAGTCATAAAAAGCTCTTCTCACTTGCCGTACATTAACTTATTAAAGTCATCTTTCGTCAGACCATTAATGTGCCTCCAGTGCATAAAATGATTAACAGTGGCTTCAGTCTAGTTCTGGCATTGAATGAATCAAAGTGTGCAATAAACATTATTTGAACACTTCCTGAAGCGGAGGGGAGAGGATGTCAAGAAATCATTTCAGTAACAACATGGCCTAAGTGTCACTTGGGCTAGCAGTTCTCTTGAGCAATTGTTCTGATTAATCATGTAAAAAAGAAATCTAATGTGAAAGAAGCACAAATAAACGTGAGAGTGGGTTTCATAAAAAGCACGATTACCTCTAATAAATACTCCTCTATCTCAATTCGTTGGAAAACTGACCATACTGGGAATACTGGCCTATGGGCCAGCAGTTGCTCTTCCTTCAGATAAAAACAAAACACCAGATTCTCAAAGGTGTCAGTGTGAAAGAGACAAAAAGATCGGGGGGTGGGTGGGGGGGGGGGGGGAGAGAGAGAGAGAGAGACAGAAAGCTGTTGAGTTCAGGCTGTGGGCCTGTTGGTCCTTAGAGATGGGCTGTGTGACTGCTGGCTGATGCTGTCTTATTAAAAGTCCTCCTCTGCACATTCAACAGCACTGTCAAAAAAAGAATCTTCAAAACTTTGTTGAAACAGTTGCTGAATTGCAGGACAGAGCTGAGCCAACTTATAATGTCTGCCATAAGCATGGATTTTAAGCTCAATACTTAGCTCCGCCAGATACCACTAAAAGAGAAGGAACCCTTTGACTCTGCACTGATTGGACAGGTATTTGTGAGGCTTATTCTCTCTCCCAGCCACCTATTTTTAGTTACTATGCTGTACTAGTATACATAAAGCTAACCAAGCAGTATATAAGCAATTTAAATCATCTCCGGGGGCAACATAAACAATATACACATTAAGCCATAGTCACACAGGCCTAAAGACTCATCAGACACCATCTGGTATTCACAGGTTTAGTGGGAAAATTTGGAATTCCCAACTCATCGACCAGCAGTTGCTGACTGAAATTGGTCTCAAAAAGAAAAGCCACTCAGGGTTTAGTATCTTGGCCAAGGATACTTTGGAGACTGGAGATTGAACTACCAACCATCTGATTAGTAGATGACCTGCTCTTCCTAACGAGTGACAGCCACCCTCAAGACGAATGACTTTGTTTCTCAGCTGTTCTTAAATTTCTTTAGTTTGTGGCACGATGTGATGCTTTTTGGGATCGTTAAGCCTACGCCACCTCGTCAGACAAGTTCAATTTAAGTGATTCATTGATTCAACGGGTCTGACAGTAATCAGGCCCGGGTGTGGCTTGTCTCACTGAACTCGGATTTCCCCAAAAAATGTGATTATCAATTCTGTAGATTTGTGATTTAACAGGGGTTTCAACTGTTGCACTTTGTAGTAGAAACATTGACATGGTCATACATATTCAGGGATACAGTGATTTTGTTTTCAAAATTTTCAATTAATCCTGGAGTCCCACATATAGAAATAACTAAATTCCCAAAGCTCAAGATCCAATGAAGTTGCCTGTTTATTTGGCCCATAGTCAGACCTCTTCAAATATTTAGTTAGCAAGTATATGTTTCAAAGAAAATGAGAAACACCTGAGAAGGTGATAAATGACTAAAACACTCTAAACACTCTGAGAACGCAAAAGGTAACGGTGTTCGTATGGTATGCGCCGGATTGTGGATGAAATCCAGAAGAATGACGTTCCTGGTGGTAACACACATTCCAGCTGTGTATTCCAGCCTTAACCCTAACCTTAATCCTAACCCTAACCACAACCTTAATCACGCTAGATAGTGTTTTCCAAAGCGATTCATGATGAGAACGTAAAATAAATGTACATGTGTAGATTGAGTCCAAACGGTTCTCATGTTTCCTCCTTTTTCCGAACGCGTAACATAGAAACGTGTTGGGTTACCAACGATTGGTCACATAGCTTAATATGTTACGCTTTGGGAGTGTGTAAAACTTTGATGAAGAGGCAGTGCTACATGAAACAGTAGCATCTACCTGCTTGTGATACAACAACATTTATATAGTTGCAGAGACTCTACAAACCGCAAATGAAAATGCTCTTCAGCACTCTTCACCACAAATTCAAAAAATTCCACATTATGCGATTACCATTACAGTATTAACATTACCGCATTATCATTACATTATTATAGTCCCACTTTTCTGCCATACACCAAAGTTTAAATCACAGAGCTCAGGTCTGGACAAGTCAATTAGTCCACACAAGCCATACACGAACAGTGACAGGGTACCGTAATTGGCCCCGTGCCAGCAGATTAATATGTGGTCCTTTACTACTAAAATGGTCTTTCTTAGTGAAGCTCCAGAGAATTAATTAAACCGATGCCATTTTGAGGAGCCAAGGACTTCAGGATAAAATGACCTTGATATGAAAATGGGTCTTACAGACAGATAACTACACTGACCTTATGTCAGTCCACTTAACCTTCTCAGCCCTGCATTTATTCTGCACGTTTTACATGGTGAACCTGTTGTACGCTGACATCCTCTGCAGGTATGGCAAGGGCTGAGGTGGACATTATTTATAACTGAAGACCAAATGCTTTAGTTTTACTGAGAAAGGTCACACTGAACTTGTTATTTACAAAGAAAAATCTCACTGCATCAGTTTTTGTCCCGCGGTCCATAAACACAAATGAGAAGTTTCGTGTCGGCTGCCAGTAACAAACAAGAATAAGAGATTAAACGGCACAAGGTGCACTTGATTATTTTAGTTGCTATGCAACTATAAAAAAGAAGTGCATGAACTGCAGGGTGCTTAATGAGCAACTGAGTGTGTGTCCCTGATTTCACCTCTTTTGAAACCAATCTGCGATAAACAGTGGGTCCACAGATGGTCACTTATTACCACCTGCATGAATAATAAAGGAAAAGGTTTTTAGCACTTAAAGAGAGGGACAAAAATGAAACATTAAATCAAAAAAATAAACACGTCGCCCGTCTGCAGGAATTCTAAAAAGATATGATACTGAGGTATCATTGAGTGGTTCTCTCCCAGCAGTCTGTTCCTGCCTCTCAGGGGAATAGTAGAAAAGGTACCAATTGAGGCAGAACCATAGCCCCAGGGGGCAGTGGAGGTGGCTTAAAATCCCCTGCCAGTGCTTTCAATACCGGATGCCGGAGCCTGGTTGACTTTACGATTTTGCGTAATTTTGTTTTTGGCTAGTCTTTATATCTTCTTCTTGTCAGGTCTTAAAGCTGGTCTCTCATCTGAAGCCAGGATAAAACTCCTAGTTGAGGTGGGCAAACACAGCTCCGGTGATGTACTGCTCCCCCAAGAACAGCCAGTGCAATAGCTCAATCCCATTAAAAAAGAAGTACAAGATCAAGACAGAAACAAAACATGACCTGGACTTGGGATATACTTTGTATTCATTCACACTACACAAATGCCCCGTTTCAGCTGCCAGAAGCAAGATTAACCACAGTATCAAAATGGAACAACAGACAGTTGCTACTCAGTGTTCGAGTAAATCAGCGACTAAACAGAGTCCTCTTTTCAGAGTTAGCAAAGAAAGTCTGACCAATGTTTTTCTCTTCACTTCTTTTTTTTGGGGGGAAGGGGATCTTAACTTCCACAAATAGGTTCAACTTCAGTTTACAGCTCCTAGGAAACCAACACCAAGGCCTTAATTATTTGTCAACTGCCAACAAGGCATTACTGTATCTATCTGAAACAAGAACATCAGTACGTTAGAATACTCAAAAAAGGCTGTCAAATGGAGTACTTGTAGCATTTTCCTAGGATGAATTCAAGAAAGCCAACTAAGATATATGTAAGAGGAGAAATTTTGTCTGTTCCTGTATAAAAGTGCAGCCCTACAGACCTGGCAGACAAAAGAAGTGTCAACAACTTGGATGACCCAAACTTTAAATTAGCTACATAAACTGCTTCTTTGATTCTGCAGATGCACTTTAACACTGTCTCATAACGTGTGCTGCACCTGTTGAAACCTCTGACAACAACATATATTACAACTGGATTGCCAATAGCATGAACTCACCTTTGGCTGTGGCGATAGACCCATACAAATATCAGAGCAGGCTGACATTTATCAGAGCAGAGTCACAACTCTTGGGCTGCTGTACCTGAAAAACAGATTAAAAACATTTCAGAATTGTTTGAGGACTAGACAAAGAGGATGAATTTACAAGAATAAATCCAAAAATATGGTTTCACCTAAATGGGGACAGATAGCATCTATATATAAACCCATAAAGAGCATGGGTATGTTTCCAAGCAAAGACTTCTTCTTAATATCTTAGTTATTGTGGTTGGTAAGCCACAGTTACTGCAGAGAATATTTCATGACTTAAATTACTGCAAGAACTAGAACAAGGAACTGCTGTACAGTCAAGAAAAGGGATATTTATCATTCTATCATCTATCATATAGAGATTGTACAGTCATGTGTAAAACAAAGTCCTCACATGACTCTATGCAGTCAAAGGCAGATGGTAAACTCTACAAAGGCAGACGTTTTGAACGTTTGTAGTCTGGATCATTTAGGCGAGTGTTAACACCAAGCCAAAGACAGATGCCAAAGACATCAGCAATGATCTGAGAGAAGCAATTATTGCTGTCCATCAATCTAGAAAGTGATATGACGCCACCTCCAAACATTTTGAAGTCCATCACTCTATAGCAAGAAATTTATTCACAGGTGCAAAACATTCTAATCTCCCAGGAGTGAAATTCCCAGCTAATTCAGCCCCAGAAAAACAAAAAACCGAATCTCAGACTCTACAAGCATTAGGTAAAAGTTGTGTATAATGGTACAATTAGAAAAAGACAGAACAAATATGGCTGGTTTGGAAGAGTTCTCTTTAAAGCAAACATGGCAGCACAGCTTAATTTTGTAATGCTGCACCTAAACAAATTATCCAACTTCTGGAACACAGTCCGTTGGACAGACAAGACCAAAGCAGAGATTTGCTTGCCCAAAACTGGGTCTTACAACAGGACAATGATGCATAAATGAATAACCACAAACCTCAATGAAGTGAGTCGGTGCTGTAAAGAAGAGTGAGCTAAAGTTCATTCACAATGATTTAATCAAGGCTGATAAAGTCATACTACTTCAAGTTATTGTTTCTAAAGGTAGAACCGGAAAACTGAATCATGGATTGCACTTAGTTTTTCCTGTGAGCTTTCTTTTTCCCATGGCAGTATTGGTCACCTCAGATTGGACCTTCACAGATATCTCTATCTGCATTTCCATAGTTGCATCAGAAGAACATTGGCTGATATAATGATATGAGAACGACATGTCATGGCATTTGGTTGGGCTCCACTCAGAGATCAATGTGCAACTGTAGCTCTCTGTGCATTTTTATCAACCGAGTCATAATAAGGTTTTTGCCTTATGCATCAAAAGGGTGAAATACTGCTCACTTGCATTTTTCATTTACATGCAGTCCTGAATGTAGCCTGACACATAATCATTTTTTGTATGTACCTCCCAATGCTGCAATATTTCATTTCAAAGTGACACCCCACCCAAATCTCACATCTGTTGGCTCATATCCATAAGCTGCTGATTAAAGTCCTTCTAGTCAGTTTCCCTGGTCAGATATGCAACAGTAATAATATCAACATGTCTCCTAGTGGTGCAAAGAAAAGAGACAGAATGTCAGTGTTGATCTGCAGGTATCAGATTTAAAATATTCAATCAATAATGCCTGCCACTCTCCCACTAGTCTCAACAGGAAGGCTGCTGAAGCACCTTTGTGTTAGAAGCACACAGTGGGTATAAGAGGGAGACAGACAGCGGCATGGAGTGGTGAGGCTCATGTCTGTTTGGTCAGAGGGGTCAGACCGTGACAAGATGCTGACACAGAGGAGGATGCAGCTGGGAACCTGGCATACCTCTCCATCCTTCCCCTTCTAGTCTCCTCTCACTCTAAGCTCTTTAATTTGCTCAGCCTTCCACTTCTGTGCAGATTACTGGAATGTTACAGTAAATTAGCCAGCGTGCTTCTGCTCTTCTCATTTAGATCCTGTCTTTGAACTTCTACAAAGTCATAATAAACAATCCTACATTTTTTTTGGTGCACTGCAGAAAAACAGAGGCACATCCAACATTAAACATTTTCAGCAAATAGCACAAACCTGTCTTGTTGAGACTGTGACGACATTTACAATTCCTGGGAGGGCTGCAAAGGAGAACTGACAGGAGCGCTTGCAAGCGGCGGCCTCATTCACTGGTACTGCTCGTTCTGCAGGATCTTTTATGTGACACCATTACAGCTGGAGATTTTTTTTTCTTTATTTTGTTTTGGTTTTTTTTTTTAAACAAAGGGGATGATTCACTACTTTATGAAAAGAACAAAAAAAATGTTCAACAGAGCAGGAAAATAAAGACTTAAACTTCCTTTTCAAAAGCCCCGAGGGGCAGATTAGCTAGAAACAACGGCATCACGGAAAATGGATCCAACAATCAGCAGCAGCACTGGGCTGAGTCATAATTTATTACTCGTGCACGCTGCACGGTAGCGTCTGTTAGTGTGAGTCTCAACACTGGGCATCACACTCAAAATAGATTCAAGAAACTGGAGCTGGGAGACTGATCACATTACAGCATTGTTGGGCTTCTACGACTGCACATGACATCTTTGACTGGGTGGTGTTGTTTCTTTTTATTGTTGGTGGAATAGTGTCTGGTGCTCGTGTATCATTGGCCTGGAATCATTGCCTTTGCAAAGCAACAGCTTGCTATTAAAATTTAAAAAAAGGCTGTCATCTTTAACCACATGAATAAAGCAAGGTCCCTGTAGTACTCAGGTTTTAATGAGCAAAAAAATACATATGCACGGGGCCTTTGACTTGTGATAACAACAGGGAATGTAGTTCTATTTCAGTGACTTAAAGTGGTCAACAAAACTCAACCCTGCCTGCTGTTTTTTTTCCTATGTCACTCTCTCTCCTCTCTCTTTCTCACACACAGCACACACACTGTAGTCACACAAGTGCAGCTTCTATAAATAGCAGGGAAGAGTAGGCGAGCGGGGGCTGGGAGTGGCTTTTACTGGGAATATGATCGATTAAAAAGCAATTTGCTCCTCCGCTTGGCCCCTTCACTCCTAAATGACAACCCCCAACCCCTCCCCCCTCCATATGATGCTGTCTTTCCATCCCCACCCCACGCGCACAACCGCTACTCCCAAGCCTAAGCCTCGGTCACAGTCTGATGGGCACCATGAAAGCGACCAGCCAGAAACATCTGAACAGCCCCTGCTGGTCTCAGAGAAAGTTGAAACTTTGTTCTAACATACAGAATATTTGAGCAAACTTAAACACAGGCAGGAGGACACACTAAAGGACACTTCACTCCATAATCCATTTCACAAAATCCCTCTTTTGGTTCTGAGGTGCTATTTTTGCATATCGATTACTCCAGTCTGCACTGATCAGGAATAACATTATGACCACATGCATAATATTATGATGGTTCCCCTTTTGCCTCCTAAACCCCACTAGACCATTGAAGGTGTGTTTTGGTATCTGGCACCACCATCTGGCAACAAATACTTTAAGTTTGAAAGCTCAGGGGTTGGACCTCCATGAATAGGACTTGTTTGTCCAGCACATGCCACAGATGGTTGATTGGATTGAGATCTGAGGAATTTGGAGGCCAAACAGGTCAAACTTTTTGTTGTGCTCTGCAAAATGGCTGTGCATGGTCTACAACAACACTAAGATACGTGGGACGAGTCAAAGTGATCCACATGGAAGGCAGGATCCGAAGTTTCTCAGCTGCCCAAAGCATCACACTCCCTTCTTTCTACAGTGCGGTCTGGTTCCAGGTATTCCCCAGGTAAGCAAGGCACCCAGCTATCCGTGTCATTTAAAAGGAAATGTGATTCATCAGAACAGGCCACCTTCTCCCTTTGCGCTGTGGTCCAATTCTGAGGCTCACGTGCCCGCTGTTTACGCTTTTGGCAGTGGACAGGGTTCAGCATGAGCACTCTGACTGGTCCGAGGTTATGCAGCCCCACACACAACAACCTGCGATGTCCTTTGTATTCTGACACCTTTTTATCAGAACCAGTTCATCTCTTGGATTGGGTCGTACAGGCCACTCCCCTCATGCGTCATGACCCTGTCGCTGGTTCACCACTGGTCCTTCCATGCTTGTGACAGCACCCACCTCTCAGCAGAGCTGCAGTGTTAGCTTGCTGCACATGTCTTCTGGTTGACAGACATAGCAAAGAGAAAACAGCTCCTACATATAAATCTTCACATTGAGATTTGCAGATTTTTTTTTTTTTTAATTAACCTGTTCATAATTTTTGCAAAGCACAAATCCTGCAGAATGCTTTTGGATGCTCTTTATTTTCTGGCACCAGAAGGCAATCGAGAAACACGAACGGTTCACACCAAACTAAGTTAATTACTCTGTTTCAGGGTACTCCTTCAGGTGCATTGCAGTAACACCTGCTATGCTACAGTACAACACGCAGTTTATTCGACTGAATGGTGTAAAAGAAGATCTCCTTATGTCAGACTATGTCTATCCTCAGAATTAGAAACAAATATAACTTTAATAGATTCTTCTTGGGAGTGGACCCGCTCTCTCGAGAACACATTTCACTCTTAAAATTACTTCTGAAAAGGTTTCCAAACAGTTGTTAAATCATTTTAAAAAAATGTTTTTTAGATTTCTAAAATTTAAAATGTGCTGCTTGTCAGTTTTGTGTGACTGTAAACCAAACAAACTTTGACCCTCTGAAATATTATGATGTAATTTTACATTTCTAGGCTTTTTTACAATCTTCTTACATTTTACAGTTTAAATTATCTATCAGCTGGTTGTCGCGGATTAATCATTAAAAATTATGGTCTAAAGAGGCTGAACAGTATAGAGTCTGTAATACAATCCCTGGATTCCACAAATACTATGTGTATGAGATCACCTGTTGGAAATAGCGGCAGGAGTGAAGATAAAATGGAAGAAGGGCATAGAGGAGAACAGGCAGCAGAGTCTGGCTGGTTGTGAGGAGACTGTGTGGCCGGCTTTGGAGAACTGATCCATTGGTTATCTTGCTGTCAATATTAACAGAATACTTCAAAGAGAAACAATTATTTC